AATGACAAAAAAATCGTCCCCAGACTACGTTTTAACTACTTTTGAATATTCCTCCTGTAAGGGGACATGCTCGACTCAAAGGGAGAGGCGCCCCGCTGGCTTTCAGACGACGAGACCGCCACCGACCCCAACTCAAAACGCACCGAGGACCCCTGGTCCATTGAACCACTTCTAGGGGAACGGACAATGACATACACATAATAACTCGGAGGTCCGCCCAAATTTCTCGGATCGGCGCTGGACCCCCCTGGCGGCGCCTCCAGCGCCGCCAAGGCGAGAAGTCCGCGCGGACCTCTGAGTTTTCATGTTTACGTCATTCTTCATTTCCCTAACTTCGTGGAGCAGCTGGTTGCGCGACGCATCCCGTTGCCAACACTGCGGGGCAGAGGACGCGACAGAGGTGCCTTTGTGACGAGTACGCTGTATGGCCACTCTTGCGATCCGGTCCTCGGCCAACGACTCGGCCCACGGCCAACCGATCGAGGCAACATACCACTACCGTGATGGGGCCATTGGCAGATTGGCCCGCCTCCCCATCCTCCCCCGCCCTCCTCTCCCTCTTCTGCATTCCCATCCCCTCCTCTGCCACCTCCACTGCCCCTCCCTCTCCCTCCCATTGCCTCTCCCCATTCCACAGGATCCGCCGGCCCCCTTGTGGGGCCACCAGGCTGCGAGGCGCGTGATTCGCAGTTTCCTGTACCAGTTGTAGTTTGTAGTTTCCAGTGTTACAGTTCTGCTTCTTGCTGGTTACTGTAACTAGTTGATTGACCGCGCGAGGGGGGGGGAGGCCCAAACCAGATTTTTAGCACCACCTGGGCGCGTTGTCTGAATTGCTGGGAGGGCTCAAAATCGACACTCCTCACGCAGATCCGCGGGGTCAGGGTCCAAAAACACAGGGGATTTGCCACATTTCTGAAATTCGGTGCCACCCCTCACGCAGATCCGCGGGGTCAGGGTCCAAAAACACAGGGGATTTGCCACATTTCTGAAATTCGGTGCCACCCCTCACGCAGATCCGCGGGGTCAGGGTCCAAAAACACATGGGATTTGCCACATTTCTGAAATTCGGTGCCACCCCTCACGCAGATCCGCGGGGTCAGGGTCCAAAAACACAGGGATTTGCCACATTTCTGAAATTCGGTGCCACCCCTCACGCAGATCCGCGGGGTCAGGGTCCAAAAACACAGGGATTTGCCACATTTCTGAAATTCGGTGCCACCCCTCACGCAGATCCGCGGGGTCAGGGTCCAAAAACACATGGGATTTGCCACATTTCTGAAATTCGGTGCCACCCCTCACGCAGATCCGCGGGGTCAGGGTCCAAAAACACAGGGGATTTGCCACATTTCTGAAATTCGGTGCCACCCCTCACGCAGATCCGCGGGGTCAGGGTCCAAAAACACAGGGGATTTGCCACATTTCTGAAATTCGGCGCCACCCCTTACGCAGATCCGCGGGGTCAGGGTCCAAAAACACAGGGGATTTGCCACATTTCTGAAATTCGGTGCCACCCTTCACGCACATCCATCGCAAGGCGTGGTAACCCAAACTGCGAGAACTCCCTCGGCCCTTTAATCGCAAGGTGTGGTAACCAAGCCCGTAAACCATACACGTCTTACCAATCGCCAGGTGTGGTAACCCCTCTTGTGATCAGTTGGATTTGCTGATTGCGAATCGGCTTCGCATGAAGTTTCGATACTGCTTCACGACAGCGCCAAGACCTCATGACTTAGCTCTTCCATGGCCCATTCTCCGAGGGAGGGGGCCGGCGGCAGGGGGCGAAGCCCTTACGGATAGAACGAAGAGAATAGGCGAAAACAAAAGAATTGGACCATGGAGGATCGACCGATCCGTTGCAATGGATCTGAGCCCGAGAAAAGCGGAAACGTGAGCTACCATCTTTCGCCATTGACCTCTCGCCTGTGTGGCGATCGGGTGGAGGGGAGAAACGTAAGGGTTGGGATATACTCATGTTTGCACAATCAAAAAGGAATTGGAGAGCGTAGTGGGTGCACATATATATATATGTGTATAAGAACGATACAGACACATATAATATGTACACGTATATCTCGATATATGAAAGGGAGAGAAAGAGAACGAGAGATAGAGAGAGGGAGAGAACCAAGGAGAGAGCAAGAGGGCAACTTTAAGCCTGATTAGAGACACCCGTTCACACATACCAGCATTCGGCGTCAGGTGGGGCAAACAGAATTCTGAATTTGGTTGAATCCTGGCTTGACGAACTCCGCACTGCAGATTTTTGGCGGGCATGACTGCACAACACAGTCCTCGGCGGGCTAGCAAGTTCAGCATGAGCTGGACATGCTGCCTGCATGCATGCTGCCATCTCGAAAACAAGCGAAGGGGTGCTACAGAAAAGGGGGAGGACGCGCAGGAGCGAGGCGTGTCTGGCCTGGCTGCGAGAGCAAGCTCGCGCGAGGAGACGGGATGTACGCGGCAGGAGGGAGCGGGAAACAGGAGCGACGGAGGCATGTGCAGAGGGAGGCTCGAGCAACCCAGCCTCGTCGGGATATGTGGGAGGCGCGTACTCGAAGTTCGTTCTGCGAAGCACCTCAGCGGGCAGCAGCACATCATGGGCCGAACTGTGCTGTATCATGGCATCCAACATCAAGTCCTCGAGCCGATGCAACATTCGGAATGAGCTCCCAATCAACGGAGATATCCTTCTCGGTCCACTCCAAATACACCGCGGGAAAAGGAGGGCGGGGAGGGGCTGGGCAACGAATCGCAGCAGAGGGCATCTGACCCCCAGCATATGCGCCTCGAGCACTAATCGTGCTCCCGACCTGGGCCATTGTCCCACGGCTCGCCTGGCGGGACACGCCTCCATGCAGCTGATCCCCCAGCCCATAAGCAGAAGAGTCACTGGGTGCGCACATGCTGCTTTCAAAGCCCCCCTTTCAAGGTCAGCAGCGCGACCAGGAACCACACCATCGAAACCTCTGCGATCGGACTCTTCGAGCCGCGACTTCTGCGCAACGTCTTGGGCTGGGGCGGGTGAAGCGGACTGCGCCCGAGTCTGGACCGGGGCCATGCTTGAAGTCGCCCGCTCCAAGGGAACGGCCCCTCCGAGATCCAGGCGCCCGCACGGAGAACGCGTCCTCGACGCGTGTGCTCGATTTTGGCCAGCCTTCAACGTGTGCAGCCTCGGCATCCCTCGAACTGCGAGGGGGACAAGCACGATCAGAATGGAAGTCCTGCTTATCCCCTGGCGCGCCCTCGGAAAATGCGCCTCCCCCGCCCGGTCAAACCTCTCCCTGGGTCCACCTCTGCAGCCCTCCTCCGCACCATCCCGACAGCTCTGCAGAGCGGAGCCCGCAGGCGGGGGCGACCAACACCCCCCCCCGGTAGGTCTCTCGCTTGAAGCACAGCAGGAGCTCGACCATGAGAACCGTCCCCCAAGAAACTCAAGACCTGAGACCCCAGGGCGCCCGCAGGTTTTAGGTGTGGGAGCGTCACGCCTTCCATCGCAAAACCGTCGACACCCAAGAAGCCCGGGGCACCCTGGAGGCAAGCAGGGTGCTCCTTGGCATGGGCCTGCGCTGTAAGCCGCAGGAGCGAGCAAGGAGGGGGACAGACCTGGCACGCCCGACGGAAGGGCCACACGGACGAGCATGCTGCCCAAGCGCACATGGCGTGCTGGAGCCCAGGACGTGGCAGATCGGTTGCGCCCCTTCCCCTTGCCCGTCTTGTTGGAACGACCGCTTTCCCCAGAGTCACCCGCGGGGGCCTCGTCCACCTTTGGCTCGGTCCACTTTGATGTCTGTGCCCGCACAGAACACCTGGGCGACACGACCCGAATGGAGGTGCCCACGAGGCCTGCATGAATTCTCATGCGGTCGGCCCTCGCAACATGAATGGCAGCACGGACGCGCCCCAGGCGTCACATCTGCGCCGCCGCATTCCCCCCGGACCACATACCTACACATGGACAAGGTCTGCTGTTCCCCTTCCTTGGTCCTCTGAAGACCTGCGCTCGCCACGACCGCCTTGCATCCGGACAGCGCGCCCAGTCCAAAATGCAAGCCATCGTCCCCGCTCGTTCTGCCCCTTGATGAGCCCGCTCGAGCTAACCAGGGAACCACCAGGATGATGAGGCTCCAGGTTGCGCACGGACAGCCCCCTCACGTAGTCAAGGCTGGCCTCAACAGGCCCCCCGAGAAGACCAGGTTGGTCACAACACCCCAATCATTGGGCGCCACTGGAGGCGGCGCCAAATTGTTGAGACCGACCCGGGCTACTCGGGGGCCCTGTTGAGGCCAGCTGCAGCTCCCTGAGGGGGCTGTGCGTCGGCAGACCAAATCCCTACCAGACCAGGGTGGACGAAAGAAGCGCCCAATCCCCGCGGGCTTCTGGCTGGCCCGCCTCGCGCGCGACCGTGCTCAGCAGCGAGCAGACGTGCTCCCCGCTGCCTGCCTTCAGCTTGGCGGGCTGCACGTTGGCCTGGCGCGCGAGGGCAGCTGGGCGCTTGAGCCTTCTGCTCCTGCCCGCCTCTCAATCCTCAAGTCCGTCTCCATCTCCTGTCCACCCTCCCAGTAGGAAGCTGGAGCCACACAAGGTCTGACTCGCATGCGGGCCCAGGCCAGCAACGTCAGGTGCATCAAGCTTCCTGGGGGCCGCCTACCTCCATGTCTTGTTCACAACAAGCTGGCGGATGTGGTACTTCACGCCTGAACGATCGACTGCGTCGCCTCCAACTCAGCGGAGTCGCAAACAGCGACGGAACATGGAAGACACAATGTTCTACTGCCGAATCAACTCTCCCCTCATCACATATAGGAGACACAATTCCGAAACGGTTATGCCCCGGACCCTCTGGCTGCGATCTCAACGGTGTGCCGCAGACGGGAGCTCAGGCAGCGAGCATGCTGATGGCGCAGTGCCAACCGCCCGAAGGCCCTGAATGTTGAGCTTCATCGTCGCCCTCGCGATCGCCTCTGTCGTCACAACCGCTGGGGGTCACTCCGACCTCGACCTCGCCGTAGGCCCAACTCCCAACTTTACACAGGTGAGCCTACGAAGCTTCGCCTTCCCAAGACGTTTCCCACTCCCTCACGTTCCTGGACCTGCATCGTGCGTGGCATACTTCCCCTCCAGGGCGGCCAACATTGGACATACGGAGTCTCATTGGAGGCCTGGAAGTGGCCACCAACACCAACACAGGAGGTTGCCTCCACAGGGGGAACATGATCCTAGATTTCGGTGTTTGTGGTAATATTTCGGCCACCTTGGAACTCAGAATAGTGCCACCATCACCGAGATCGGGGTCCCCCCTCGGTGGAGGCACACCGCCGAAATTTAGTGTTGGTGTCAACCTCTAGGCCTGCGATCTGACGCCAAATCGATTGGATCAACGATGCTTCGCGAAATCCTCCAAGGCCGCGAGAAGCCGCCCCCCGCGACGGCACCCCCGGCTCGAAGAGGCAGGGGGCAACAGCACAGGTTCCACTGCTGCGCCAGAGGCGCACGAAAAAGGGGCCCCAAGGAGACACCAAGGCGCGTACCACAAACTCTCTCCGACGACGTATTTGTGTTTCCCAATCTGGACATGTTTTCTTGGCCCTCGGCCTCAGGGGCCCGCTTTCGCGCCCCAGGGACCATGAACAGTTACATCCAGGGCGATGACCTATCCCCGGGGAAAGGGTCGGGACCTTCGGGGCCGCGCATTCGAAGAGACCCGATCGCCGGACGTCAGGGGCCCTTTTCGGCAAGTGTTCACGCGCTTACTGAACTGGCTGTGTCTCGTGATCGTCGGCACTCGGCGCAGGATGGCCTCGAGCGGCACCAATCATCCCTGGTGCAACCGAGGGAGGTGTTGAGCTTTGAGGTCCACCCCCCTGTTTCTCTACGCGGGGAGAAGACTCCGCCTCTCCTCCTCCTGCTCCTCCTGATTCTCCTCCTAGTCGTATTCGTCGGCGCAATCGTCGTCATCGTCGTCGTTGTCGTGCGGCGGGTGCCGCGGAGAGATACCCATTCCACGATTGGTGGGGCCCCAGTTTGTCAACAAGGGCGTCGAACAGATAATCAGCTTCCACTACTGGGGAGAGGGTTCTACAGACTACCCATGGGTCGGAAGAAGTGGGTAGAAGCATGACGTAGGAAGGCGTTGGGAGTAGATTGGGTCTCCACCCGCCCCCTGAAGGGGACGGAAGAGGGGAAGCCACTCGATCCTTGAAGTAGGACGGGCATCAAAAGATACCTGCTTTCAACGACCGATGGGCAACCAGCTTCCACTATTGGTGTGAGGGTCCTATAGACTAGACCTATCGCAGCCAGCTCCCACGAGCCCGAGCTGCGAGGCGGCTTTCAGTTCCGGGCCGAGCTTGAGCGAGGTGGCCGCGGCACGCCGATCGAGGATCATACCCCAATCCCTGCAGCAGCAATCCGGAGGGAAAAAACACACAGACACAATTAATCGTCGCCCCCTCAGGAAAATATGGGAACATATGGGAAGTGGAGGGGAAGACGAAAACACAGAAAATGCGTAAAAATATTTGGGATTCTGGGATTTGTGTGTGTTTATCTGTGTGTCCTTGAGCCCCTCGAACAAGATCTCTCGCCTGCACCCCGCCTCTGGCTCCCGGACGCATCGGCGGTCGCCACTTCTGCATCGGGCGCCCCCCCAAAACAAAAATCTGCAGCCCAGCATCCGCATGCCTCGTCGGCCCTGGGAGTGCGTTGGGCGAGATCATCGCACAACACCGTGGTGGAACGATGGCCTCGCCAGTCGGGATGCCAGATGCCATGCAGTAGAGGCGAGAGAAGGAGGAGGTTGAAGAACAAGGAGAGATGACTCGCGTGACAACGTTCACGAACCTCGAGCGATGAGAGTCAGGCTGAGATGCCTGGATTCCGTTGTCCGCCAAGATGCTCAGCATCTTCGTGACAACTGTGTTCGGGTCGTCGTACTCGTCCCAGTCGGACTGCGGAGCGACGAGACGAGGACGGCAGGGCGGCACGAATCTTGCAATCACGGAGTCGCAGAACATGCCAGAGACTGGCGCGGGCACGCGCAACTGGGGATGGCATTGGGCACTTGAACATGAGATGGAAACAAAGCCTGATGGATAGAGATGGAGAGGATCAGCAGCAGATTTCTCAGCAGGGGAAGCGATGAGGCTTGGCAACAGCAGGTTAGGAGGGGGCCGAGGTTAATGATGAGGTAGCGAGGGCGAGAGCAGTGAATGATGGTCCACTGATGCCCTCTGGGGGCACCAGGCTTGAGAGTTGTTTCTGCCGCCTGCCCCCTGCATTTCTGGTCGCCTGCTGCCTGTCAGACACCCACACCCGAACACCCGAGGGTAGTGGCGTGAGCTTATGGCCGCGCCAAAATACGCAAAGTATATCTCCAATCAATGTCACAATCTTATCAAGAGCTCCTAGGAGGCCTCCAGGAGAGGCGCGAGAAGACACTCCAACTATCTCCCCAAAGGCACAAGCCACCCCCATATGTCCCCCAAACGCAACATCATCAAG